GTCAAACTATCAAAAATTAACTATAAAGAAAAAATATTAAAAGCAGCAAGGAAGAAAACAACAAATGACGTACAAGGGCATCCCCATAAGGTTAACAGCTTGATCTTCCAGCAGAAACTCTGCAAGCCAGAAGGGAGTGGCAGGACATATTTAAAGGGATGAAAGGGAAAAACCTACAACCAATATTACTATACCCATCAAGGATTTCATTCATATTCGACAGAGAAATTAAAACCTTTACAGACAAGCAAAAGCTAAGAGAATTCAGCGCCACCAAACTAGCTTTACAACAAATGCTAAAGGAACTTCTCCAGACAGGAAACACAAGAGAAAGAAAGGACCTACAATAACAAACCCAAAACAATTAAGAAAATGGTAGTAGAAACATACATATCAATAATTACCTTAAATGTAAATAGATTAAATGCGCCAACCAAAAGACATACACTGGCTGAATGGATACAAAAACAAGACCTGTATATATGCTATCTACAAGAGACCCACTTCAGGCCAAGGGACACATGCAGACTGAAAGTGAGGGCATGGAAAAAGATATTCCATGCAAATGGAAATCAAAAGAAAGCTGGAGTATCTATTCTCATAAAGTCACACAAAATAGATTTTAAAATAAAGACTATTAGAAGAGACAAAGAAGGACACTACAGGGGATCAATCCAAGAAGAAGATATAACCATTGTAAATATTTATGCACCCAACATTGGAGCACCTCAGTACTTAAGGCTAATGTTAACAGCCATAAGAGGGGAAATCGACAATAACACAATCATAGTAGGGACTTTAACACCCCACTTTCACCAATGGACAGATCATCCAAAATGAAAATAAATAAGGAAACACAATCTTTATATGATACATTAAACAAGATGGACTTAATTGATATTTATAGGACATTCCATCCAAAAAAAACAGAATACACTTTCTTCTCAAGTGCTCATGGATCATTCTCCAGGATACATCATATTTTGGGTCACAAATCAAGCCTTTGTAAATTTAAGAAAATTGAAACCGTATCAAGTATCTTTTCCAACCACAGTGCTATGAGACTAGATATCAGTTACAGGAAAAAATGTGTAAAAATACAACCACATGGAGGCTAAACAGTACACTACTTAATGACCAAGAGATCACTGAAGAAATCAAAGAGGAAATCAAAAACTACCTAGAAACAAATGACAATGAAAACGCAACAACCCAAAACCTATGGGATGCAGCAAGAGCAGTTCTAAGAGGGAAGTTTATAGCAATACAATCCTACCTCAAGAAACAAGAAACATCTCAAATAAACAACGTAACCTTACACCTAAAGCAATTAGAGAAACAAGAACAAAACAAACAAACAACCAAAGTTAGCAGAAGGAAAGAAATCATAAAAATCAGATCAGAAATAAATGAAAAAGAAATGAAGGAAACAACAGCAAAGATCAATAAAACTAAAAGCTGGTTCTTTGAGAAGATAAACAAAACTGATAAACCACTAGCCAGACCCATGAAGAACAAAAGGGAGAAGACTCAAATCAATAGAATCAGAAATGAAAAAGGAGAAGCAACAACTGACACTGCAGAAATACAAAGGATCATGGGAGATTACTACAGGCAACTGTATGCCAATAAAATGGACAACCTGGAAGAAATGGAAAATTCTTAGAAAAGCACAACCTTCCAAGACTGAACCAGAAAGAAATAGCAAATATGAACAAACCAATCACAAGCACTGAAATTGAAACTGTGATTTAAAATCTTCCTACAAACAAAAGCCCAGGACCAGATGGCTTCTCAGGCGAATTTTATCAAACATTTAGAGAAGAGGTAACACCTATCCTTCTCAAACTCTTCCAAAATACAGCAGAGGGAGGAACACTCCCAAACTCAGTCTACGAGGCCACCATCACCCTGATACTAAAACCAGACAAAGATGTCGCAAAGAAAGAAAACTTCAGGCCAATATCACTGATGAACATAGATGCAAAAATCCTCAACAAAATACTAGCAAACAGAATCCAACAGCACATTAAAAGGATCATACACCATGATCAAGTGGGGTTTATTCCAGGAATGCAAGGATTCTTCAGTCTACACAAATCAATCAATGTGATACACCATATTAACAAATTGAAGGACAAAACCATATGATCATCTCGATAGATGCAGAGAAAGCTTTTGACAAAATTCAACACTCATTTATGATAAAAACCCTCCTGAAAGTAGGCATAGAGGGCACTTACCTCAACATAATAAAGGCCATATATGACAAACCCACAACCAACATCTTTCTCAATGGTGAAAAACTGAAACCGTTTCCAGTAAGATCAGGAACAAGACAAGGTTTCCCACTCTCACCACTCTTATTCAACATAGTTTTGGAAGTTTTAGCCACAGCAATCAGAGAAGAAAAAGAAATAAAAGGAATCCAAATCAGAAAAGAAGAAATAAAGCTGTTACTGTTTGCAGATGACATGATACTATATATAGAGAATCCTAAAGATGCTACCAGAAGACTACTAGAGCTAATCAATGAATTCAGTAAAGTAGCAGGATACAAAATGAATGCACAGAAATCTCTTGCATTCCTATGCACTAATGATGAAAAATCTGAAAGAGAAATTAAGGAAACAGTCCCTTTTACCATTGCAACAAAAAGAATAAAATACCTAGGAATAAACCTACCTAAGGAGACAAAAGACCTGTATGCAGAAAACTATGACACTGTTGAAAGAAATTAAAGATGATACAAACAGATGGAGAAACATACCATGTTCTTGGATTGGAAGAATCAACACTGTGGAAATGACTATACTACCCGAAGCAATCCACAGGTTCAATGCAATGCCTATCAAACTACCAATGGCATTTTTCACAGAACTAGAACAAAATATTTCACAATTTGTATGGAAACACAAAAGACCCTGAATAGCCAAAGCAACCTTGAGAAAGAAAAACGGAGCTGCAGGAATCAGGCTCCCTGAAATCAGAGTCTACTACAAAGCTACAGTAATCGAGACAGTATGGTACTGGCACAAAAACAGAAATATAGATCAATGGAACAGGATAGAAAGCCCAGAGATAAACCCATAAGGTGACATATGGTCACCTTATTTTTGATAAAGGAGGCAAGAATATACAATGGAGGAAAGAGAGCCTCTTCAATAAGTGGTGCTGGGAAAACTGGACAGCTACATGTAAAAGAATGAAATTAGAACCCTCCCTAACACCATGCACAAAAATAAAGTCAAAATGGATTAAAGACCTATTGGCTTCCCTGGTGGCGCAGTGGTCGAGAGTCCGCCTGCCGATGCGGGGGACACGGGTTCGTGCCCCAGTCCGGGAAGATCCCACATGCCATGGAGCAGCTGGGCCCGTGAGCCATGGCCACTGAGCCTGTGCGTCCAGAGACTGTGCTCCGCAACAGGAGAGGCTACAACAGTGAGAGGCCCATGTACCGCAAAATAAATAAATAAATAAATAAATGGATTAAAGACCTAAATGTAAGGCCAGACAGTATAAAACTCTTAGAGGAAAACATAGGAAGAACACTCTGTGACATAAGTCACAGCAAGATATGACATAAATCACAGCAACATCCTTTTTGACCCACCTCCAGTGAAAAAAAATTAACAAATGGGACCTAATGAAACTTAAAAACTTTTGCACAACAAAGGAAACCATAAACAAGACCAAAAGACAACCCTCAGAATGGGAGAAAATATTTGCAAATTAAGCAACTGACAAAGGACTAATCTCCAAAATTTACAAGCAGCTCATGCAGTTCAGTATCAAAAAATAAACAACCCAACCCCAAAATGGGCAGAAGACCTAAATAGACATTTCTCCAAAGAAGATGTACAGATTGCCAAGAAACACATGAAAGGATGCTCAGCATCAGTAATCATTAGAGAAATGCAAATCAAAACTACAATGAGATATCATCTCACACCAGTCAGAATGGCCATCATCAAAAAATCTACAAACAATAAATTCTGGAGAGGGTGTGGAGAAAAGGTAACCCTCTTGCATTGTTGGTGGGAATGTAAATTGATACAGCCACTATGGAGAACAGTATGGAGGTTCCTTAGAAAACTAAAAATAGAACTACCATACGACCCAGCAATCGCACTACTGGGCATATACCCTGAGAAAACCATAATTCAAAAAGAGTCATGTACCACTATGTTCATTGCAGCTCTATGTACATTAGCCAGGACATGGAAGCTACCTAAGTGTCCATTGACAGATGAATGGATAAAGAAGATGTGGCACATATATACAATGGAATATTACTCAGCCATAAAAAGAAACAAAACTGAGTTATTTGTAGTGAGGTGGATGGACCTAGAGTCTGTCATACAGAGTGAAGTAAGTCAGAAAGAGAAAAACAAATAACGTATGCTAACACATATATATGGAGTCCCCTGCTCCAAAAAAAGTGGTTATGAAAACATAGGGGCAGGACAGGAATAAAGACACAGACATAGAGAATGGTCTTGAGGGCACAGGGAGGTTGAAGGGTAAGCTGGGACAAAGTGAGAGAGTGGCATGGACTTATATATACACTACCAAATGTAAAACAGCTAGCTAGTGGGAAGCAGCTGCATAACACAGGGAGATCAGTTCGGTGCCTTGTGACCACCTAGAGGGGTGGGATAGGGAGGGTGGGAGGGAGACGCAAGAGGGAGGAGATATGGGGATATATGTATACGTATAGCTGATTCACTTTGTTATAAAGCAGAAACTAACACACCATTGTAAAGCAATTATACCCCAATAAAGATGTTAAAAAAAAAAATCCTGTCACTATTGCATTGTAATTTTTTACAATTTACCCTGGACCGGATGAACTGAGTCATAGGCTTCAAAACTTATGTTCCTTTCCAGCTTTTATATCCCAAGTTAGAACTTTTATGTGAACAAATGTATTTTTAAAAGTGTGTAACTGTTACCGCTTTTAGACAGTGAGCCCTGTGGGTAGATTGACGGCCACTTACAGAAGGGGCAGTGGGCACGAGGTCGTTTTCTGTTCTTCCCGTCTTCATTGCTGTGTGAACCCGGACGGATTCATAAATGGATGGTTCTTCCACTTTTCTTGGATAGGGATGTTTCAGGACAATCAGAGTGCCTGAATGAAGACAAAAAAACCATAAGTAGGATCCCCAGAAATAAGGTCCAAATGCTAACAACTGGATAACTGTGGCTGAATTGTAAAGTCTCTTGTTTTTTCATGGATTCACTTACTCATTTTCTCAACATGTATCGAGTGCGAACTACATGCCAGGCACTTAAGCCAGTCGCTGGAGATACAAAGCGGGATGAGACAATATCTGGCCTCCTCGTGCTGGGACAGAGCTAGCAATGAACATAGTCATTTAACTGAACGGGGTGATGAGACCAACGTCGGCCACGTGAACCAAGCATGCTGGGAGCCTATGTGGTAACAATGCTTTTCAGGTGAGATGTCACTGGTGGCAGGTAGAAGTACCACAGAGACAAAAAGGTCATGCATAAGAAGAGCCTTTCTATGGAATGCTTCAGAAACTCTTTCCTAGGGGAGGCAACGCCGTTCTAGACCTTAAAGCTGTAACTGGAGGTTTTCCAGGTGGGCTTTACCAAAGCCATGCAAACAAAACTAATCAAATACTCTGGGTATAGGAGGATTTCTTCCATTGCCCTACTTCTCACTGGTTTCAGAACAACTTGCAACAAATCAGTGGACCTGAAAAATATGAGCTCATAGCATTTTCCGTAGTATCTCCTACCACCCAATAAACAGCTGGAGGAAATGAAATCTTTGCTTTTCTTTAGTGAACATGAAGTAAGTAGGCTGAGGCTCCTGTGTGATTACCTTCACTTCCAACTGGAGGAGGGGTGTCCCGGCAGAAAAAGGGTCCCCTCAGGGGCCAGGGGACTTGGGCGAGTCATTCAGAGGGCTGAGCGCTTTCAGCTCAACATTGACATTTCCCCCTTCTGCATCCTTCCCTTTCCCCAGTCAGTCAGTCAGTCAGAAACTAGAAACTGACTACAAAAAGACTAAGTTAAGAGTTTTCTCCCGTCTGCTATGGCTTCTTGCTTTTTAAATTTCACTCAGGTCTTTTATACGGCAGGCCCAGGATTGTACCAGACACTGGGGGAGATGCAAAGAATTCAGTAATTCATTCAACAAATATTTACTGAGCTCTACTAAGTGCCAGGCACTTGTCTAGGCCCTGGAGATACAGCAACGGACAAAGGAGATGTAGCGTCTGCTCTCATGGCAGGGGAGACAGAAAAAAATTTGAAAAAAAGAATATGTCAAGTGAGAGAATCGTTATGAAAACCCTAACAGAGCAATGTAAAGGAACAGAGAGCGAAAAGAGAGGGTTTGGGGAGGGTGGTATTTGTATCAGATCAGGGAAGCCTTCTTTGACAGGGTGACAGAAAGCTCATAGAAAGTATAGACCTTGAACTGCAGTAAGAAAGAGACAAGGAGGAAAGGAAAATACCTCCTCTGCAGTTAAGAAGCCCTTAATAATAACGATAAACCTACAAACAAAGCAAAACCTTTCTATGAGGCTTGAGTACATACAATGTACTGACTGCAAAACCAGAGCCATGCCTTCTGATATCTCTCTGTACCCAGTTCACCTCAGGAACCCTGGGAACACAGTGAAAAATGGCTCTTGCAGTTATGAGAAGTTCCAGTACTGTTCATGCACATTGTCTGTACTCCCTTTTGTCGATGTGATTCTTTCATGAGAACAGATCCAGTCATATCAGGACAAGGGGCCAGTTACAGGTTTACAGTCATAATGAAAGCAGCAACACCTAAATCAAGAGCAGCCGTTATGCAGGCTCAGGGGCATTGTGGATGCACCTGTGACACGGCAGATGCTCGGTGAATTTGGGGCTGGCTTCTAAGTGACCTACCCCAGAGAAACACCTCCTGGCAGCCACCTAGGCATCATGGAAGGAGCAACCATGGCCACTCAGCACCTGTTGACTTTGGACATTCTATCACAAGCTTCTGTTTCTTCCTCTGACAAGTGAGCATAATTACGCTTTCTTCATGAAGCTGCTTTAAGCACCAAATAAAGAAGTGTTTGTGAAAGGATTATAACAGTGTTCGATGTTGTTATGCTTTGATATAGAGTATTTTTAAATCCTTGAGTGAAATTCCAATGAGTGCCATCTTTGGGTGTGGATTTTAAAATAAGAAAGATCTAAGTGTAACGATGTGCTAAGAATAAAAATGGCAGTAGTTTAGTAGGCACTGACGACATAGCACTAAGACAAACAGGTGCCTCTTAAACATTTCATCTGACAGTGGAGAAGAGGGGGACGGGAGCTCAGGGCTCAAAGCAGCTCACAAATAAGAAAAAAATGCGAAATCTTGCGCTTCATCTTCAAAGTTGATGCTAAATTATCATCCTTTTCCATATGCTTAATATGAAAATAATATTTAAAATGATGCCCAAGAAAGATGCACCTGGTCAATCCTCTGTCCTTTGGCATAGAACCAAGCATACCCCAGGTATATGCCTACCTATACAGGTTTCCTATTGCAGCTGTAACAAATCGTCACAAGTGTAGTGACTTAAAATAACTCACATTTATTATCCTACAGGTCTGGAGGTCAGAAGTCTGAAATGGGTCTCACTAAAGTGAAAGTGTCAGCAGGGCTGCTTTCCTCTTGGAGGCTCTAGGGGACAGTCCATTCCGTTGCCTTTTCTAGCGTCTGGAGGCTGCCTGCATTCCTTGACTGGTGGCCCCATTCCTCCATCTTTAAAGCCAGCAACAGTGGGTCAAGTTCTTCTGATGCTGCTGTCTCTCCAGTTCTCCCTCTTCTACCTCCATCTTATAAGGACGCTTGTGATTACAGTGGTTGCTCCTGATTATTCAGGATAATCTCCCCATCTCAAAGTCAGCTAATTAGTAGCCTTAATTCTATCAGCAAACTTAATTCCCTCTTGCCATGTAACGTAACATTCACATTTCCGGGGACGGATGTGAATGCTTTTGGGGGGGTCGTTATCCTGCTTACCACGGTATCAGTTTCTGGGAGGTAAGCATAGCCATAGGGGCCCGTTGTGCTGCAGTGTAAGGATCTCTGGGCCAGGGTTGCTTCCTGAGCCTGCAGTGCCGTAATCACTTGGTACTGTAGAGCCATTGCCTTTCCAACATGTGCATTTGCAAGCCCTGTGAGTCCCTTCAGAGCAGGTATGGTGCCAAATTTATTTTTGTATCCCTACCTCCTGATAGAGTTTCTGACATAGGGAAGGCTTGATGAGTGAATGGATGAATGAATGCCACAGTAATTCAGATTTAAGGCAGGGAAGAGGCTGAGATGAACCAGACTCTTCCAGGTCCATGATTACCCTGGTCTGGGGCAAGGACAGGACAGGACAACAACTCCACATTCGGCTCTCCAAATCTCCATTGTGGGGACCCAAAGTCCATTTTGAAACTTCCTCTGAAGTTTAACCAATGAAGAGCTAAGCTAAGGTAAATGCTATTGAGTCAACCAGGAAAGCAGAATTGACCATAGATAGATATTAACTAGTAATACCATGAATGAGGCTAGATTGAACGGTGGAAGGAAGAAAATGACAAACTACTTATAAAATGATAAGTCCAGGACTTCCCTGGTGGTCCAGTGGTTAAGACTCTGCACTTCCAATGCAGGGGACATGGGCTCGATCCCAGGGCGGGGAAGTTTTGCATGCCACATGGCGCAGCCAAAAATAAATAAATAAATGAATAAAATAACTTCCACTGATAAAAATATGGCCTCTTGAGAAACAGGTCTCCTTAGCCAACTATTCTGCCCAAGGAAGGGCCAATATATGGACTTCTTGGCATGGCTGCTAGCCTCACAATGATTTCCCCTTTTGTAGAAATCGTTCCATCCCCTTACACAGAAGTAGACCTCAAAGACCCTGACCCTCCTCCATCCACAAACACCTAACCTGGACACACTCATTGGACCAACCCAGGGATCTGCTTAGTCACTTCTCTGGAAAAATGGTCCACTAACTTCAGTTTCTGAGTTCATGAAGAAGACTTGTTTCCTGCCTTTGACATGAAAGCTGGTTTCAGAAACGCTCAGTGGAGGTACGTTTTTGAGATGATCAGAGCGGGAGGAAGACAGGCATTTCAATGTGCTGAAAGCTACAGAGTTGCCATGATCGCTGGGCTGATTGATTACTTACTGTCTCTCGTGGTTTAGCTTGCCCTTAAATTCTGAGCAGATATATGAATATCCTTCCAAAAAATTCCACTTTTCTCCCTGTATCCTTCTTTTCCTTTTTTTTTTTAAATTCAGCTAGCCAGGGTTACTTTCTGTCATTTGCAGTCAAACGAAACTTACCTAATGTTGCCACCACAGACTCATTATATAAGTTCCACCCAAGGTTCAAGACAGCACGCTGGCTCCATTAAGAGAGAACTCTGGGTTAGTGATATTCAGACAAAATTAACCCCAGGACTTGGTTTGAAGATTCAGATAAAAGGCAACCGGAGACAAGGGCTGGTAGAGGGAGAAGAGACACAGGTCTGCGACCGCAGGTTGGAATGCTTGATGTAAGTTTCACTTCAGTTTCTAAACTACATGAAGGAGGAGACTGCTGTTTCCTGCCTTTGACACGAAACCTGGTATCAGAAATGCTTGGCGGAGGTATATTTTTGAAGTGACAGCAGGATCGAGGCACGTATTTAAATTTGCTTTGGCTGAACTGTAACTTATAGGACACCTACTCAGTGTGTAATATTAT